TCTCTCTTGATCTTTTCCACATTTTATGATAAATCTGTAAGGATATCCATTCTCTCGGAGATACTTCTCAATAAAGTTTAATTCATTCTCTAATGTGTTTGCAGAACATAATTTCCTAACTCTGTTGCAAAGTATTTTGACTAGACGATACTTATACCTGGTAGGACAGAAACTGTTCGGTTCGCTGAGTATATCTTCAAGAATTTTTACTTGAAATGAAGTCAAATTTTAATCAATGCAATCGTCAGATACCTCGTAGACATAGAATATCAGGCTGAAACCTTAAGTGCTTTTAAAATAAAACGTCTGGAATAATGCACTTCGCATAATTAATTGCTATAAAACGCTTTCATCCTGATCTCACTCCCTTGGTGAATATGTTTCACTTTAATTACATAACTCCTTATTTATTTATTTGTTATTATTTTCCCTTTCTTACATTTCTTTATAATTAATTCTCTTATACCCTTATATGGATTATCAATGATTTTTCTGTACAACTAAAGACTATTGATTATATATAGCTGAAGAGTATTCATGAGATAAAACGATATCATTTTATTCTACAAATTTCATCCTTCTTGTTTTATCCAAATTTATCAAAGGATCTGTATTTTGTACATACATTTGACATTGCAATACACCTAACTCTGTTGTCGTATCGTTGTTTCTATTTTCTGTAGAATAGAATAGCTACCATAGATGGGATCTAGAGGTTATTGTACATGTGTTCATCAGTCTATATCAACGGATATCAGTAATTGTATTGGTAGTAAATTGTCATAGTGTGGAATAAGATTGTCATGATTTTCAGAGAAAGCGTATAGACCGACGTGTATATATCGGAATGGTTGAAGAGACAAAAAATCTGTTGGGTTATTCCAAATCTAGAAAGGCCTAGAAAATAACCAAGACCACCGTAAATATATATAAACCATTGTAATCTCTAATGTTTTTGATTTAATTTGGGGGGTTTGTGAGGATTTAGTAATTTTCAAGTTGGTATTCATCATGAACTGATATCAGTTAGAGAAATATCGGGAACCTGAGAGCACGAAACAGCTGTTTCGTTCTAGTATGGGACGCCTCAGCAGTGCGCACCCGTGACCTCGCCCCGTCAAGGATTGAACTGACAGAAGTTGGAAGTATGAACCATTGAATTCCGATGCAGTGGTTAGCTCAATGGAACCTGAAAGTCGTTGGTGCGCACTACTGTGGAGTCCCATACTAGGACTGAACAGATGTCCAGTTCTTCTAGGTTTCCAATGCTCCTCCAACTGATGATTGCCAACTTGAAAAATATATTTTTGATGTTGGAGTACACCTTCTGTTATTTTACCGCCCTTTCCATTTACTGAGGAACTAAACGATCACTAAGGTTATTGTTGAAGCATTCATATATATTATTATTATTTGTCCCTTGGGTTCCTAGTGGAATATAGGGCTTCAGTAGCACATCGCCATTTCTTTCTGTTCTCTGCAATCTTTGAACCTGACTCCACAACTGGCTAGAAGCTCTCATTTCTTCCTCATACAATCTCCTTCATGTCACCCTCACCTCGGACGCCTAACTCGTCGTTTTCTATCTGGTTTATTCTTATATATAATTCAGTTTATATCAAGCAGTCTTTACAAGAATAAAAACAAGCGACAATAGGGTTATAACAAACATTTTTCATAGTTGATTTACACATAGATTAAAGATTGTTATTTAACATTATTTATTATATTATTATTATTAGTCCCTTGGGTTCCTAGTGGAACATAGGGCTTCAGTAGCACGCCTCCAGTGACCTCTGTTCTCTGAGATCTTTTGAACCTGGTTCCACGACAGCCCAGAAGCTCTCATTTCCTCCTCGCACGACCTCCTCCATGTCACCCTCGGACGTCCAACTCGTCGCTTCCCATGGGGATTCCACTCGAGGGCCTGACGCGTGATGTCCTCAGTCGGCCTTCTCAGTGTATGCCCAATCCATCTCCACTTCTTCCTGCATATTTGTTGCGTGATAGGTTCTTGGTTGGTTCGTTCCCAGAGTTCCTTGTTGCTTATTTTTTCTGGCCATCTGATCTTCAGCAGCGAGCGTAAGCAGTTGTTGATGAATGTCTGTAGTTTATTGGAAATGCCTTTCGTGACGCGCCAAGTCTCTGAGCCATACAAGAGCACTGACTTGACGTTGGTGTTGAAAATCCGTATCTTGTTCCGCATGCTGAGTGCAGAAGATCTCCACACTGGTTTCAGGCTAATGAATGCCTGTCTTGCTTTTCCGATTCTGACTTTGACGTCCTCGTCCGTCCCGCCTGTAGTTGAAACAGTGCTTCCTAGATAAGTGAAGGAGGTTACTTCCTTCAAGTTTCTCCCGTTGACGGTGATTGGAGTTTGTTGTTGTTGTTGATGGTGGTGGTGCGGTATCTTCATCACTTCTGTCTTCTCTATATTCACCTGAAGTCCCGTCTTAGCTGCCTCCTCTGTCAACTTGTTAGTTTTTGCCTGCAGATCTTCAAGTTTATGTGACATTAGGCATAAGTCATCGGCGAAATCCAAGTCTTCTAGGTTCTTTTCCGTCGTCCAGTGTATCCCCCTCTTCTCGCTGCCTACTGTTTGCTGCATGATCCAGTCCACCACAATTAGGAATATCATGGGGGATAGTAGGCAACCTTGTTTCACTCCTGTCTTCACTTCAAAGGCATCACTGAGCTTCCCATTGTGGATTACTTGGCATGTGGCATCTTCATATAGTTGTTGAATGAGGCGGATAAAGGTTTGCGGTACTCCGTAGTATTGAAGCAGTTTCCAAATTACTTCTCGGTCGACGCTGTCAAAGGCCTTCTCAAAGTCGATGAAGTTGAGGTATAGAGCTGATTGCCATTCTACGCTCTGTTCTATGATGATACGAAGCGTTGCAATTTGGTCAGCACATGATTTGTACTTCCTGAAGCCTGCCTGTTCCGGTCGCAGTTTTGAATCCAGTGCGTCTTTAAGCCTCTCCAGGATGATGCGGCTTAATATTTTACTTGGGGTGGATAGGAGAGTGATTCCTCGCCAGTTCTTGCAAGCACTGAGGTCTCCCTTCTTCGGCAGTTTGACAAGGTAACCCTTCTTCCAATCGTCAGGTACCTTCTCTTCCCTCCACACCTTCTGCAATAGTGGTGTGAGCATGTCCGCTGTTGTCTCTGCATCTGTTCTCAGTGCTTCTGGCGGTATTCCATCTGGTCCTGCTGCTTTCCCGCATTTCAGTAGCTTTATGGCGTTCAGGACTTCCATTTTCGTTGGGGGATTTATGTTCACTTGTAATTCAGCGGCTGCAGGTGGTATTTCTGGACGAAGTGCAGGTGGTGGTCGATTCAAGAGCTTCTTGAAGTGGTCGGCCCATCGTTTCCTCTGTTTCTCTTCTTTTGTAATTAAATTTCCTTCTTCATCTTTTATTGGTTTCATCTGTGTTGGTCTCTTCCCTGATAGCAACCTGGTTATTTGATACAATGTCGTCAGGTCTCTCTTACCTGCAGCCTGTTCTGCTTCACTTGCCAGTGTGTCGTAGAAGTGTCGTTTGTCTTTGCGTGCACTCTTCTTCACTTCTTTATCCAGTGTTTTATACATTGTGCTCAGTTCCTCTTGTCGTTGAGCATCCTTGCACTGGTTTATCTTCTGCTTCACCATCCTCCTCTCCTCTATCAGCTTCCAGGTATCCGTCGAGATCCATTCCTTGTCTTCTTTCTTCTTCCTTCCTAATACTGTTGTGCAGGTTTCTTTCCACATAGCTTTCAAAGACTTCCAGTGTTCTTCTACACAGGTTTCTTCAGGGATGTCCCTCGACGTCTCCCATTTTGTCTTGATGGCTGCTTTGAAGATCTCCTTTGTAGTTTCATCCTTCAGTTTCCGAGTGTTGTACTTGAATTGAGGTCTATCACCAGCTTCCTTGAAGGCTTTTAACTTGATTTCGAAGGTTCCTTGCACTAGATAGTGGTCTGAACCTACATCTGCTCCTCTTCTTGACCTTGTGTTAAGTAGACTGCGTCTCCATTTTCTTGAGATTGAGATAAAGTCGATTTGGTTTTTAGTGTGTCCATCTGGTGAAATCCATGTCGCTTTGTGGATATCCTTGTGCCTGAACACACTGCCTCCAATCACCAAATCGTTGAATGCACAGAATTCTGCAAACAATTCTCCATTCTCATTCATTTCACCTAGCGCCTCTCGACCCATGGTTAGTTCTCTTCCCGTGTTGTCCCCTCCCAGTTTGGCATTCATGTCGCCCATTAGAATTTTGATATCGCCAACTGACGTCTTGTCCAGTGTTGACTGAAGTTGTCTGTAGAATTCCTCCTTTTTCTCTTGCTCTGCATTATTTGTAGGTGCATAACATTGTATGATTGTGACCTTTCTTCCTTTTGAGTTGAATCTTGCTGACATGATCCTGGAGGAGATTGGTTCCCACTGCATGAGAGCCTTCGATGCTCTTGAGGACATCATGATAGCCACTCCCTCAGTGTGCTCGTGGTTGGCGTCTGGGTGACCGGAGTAGATTATTGATTCTCCCGTTGACAGTTTGGAGAGTCCACTCCCATTCCATCTGCTTTCGCAAATCCCAAGCACTTCGATGTTATACCTTCTCATCTCCTTTGCAATCTGGGCTGCCTTACTGGGTTCAAACATCGTGCGGACATTCCATGTCCCCACGTTTACTTTCGCTTTCATCGAGAGAAGACACATCGGCCAATTGGCTTCCCGAAGGCTTTCACCAACTGGCGTCATTTCGCCTCTCCGATTCCAGCGGGGAATAAGTTTGTTTTCATTTTTTATATTTTGTTTGTGCTTTGAAGTTTCTTTAGCGGTTAGATTTGTTTTACGGGGTAGGGTTGCTAGCCCTATGCCCAACCTTCCCTCTTTACCCGGGCTTAGGACCGGCTAGTAACTAGTAAACTAGTTAACCAGGCGAGGTTGTTATTTAACATATTTGTATAATTCTTTTTTCCTTTTTTTTTTCTTCTATCTTTTGTATCAGTTTCAACGTATTCAATAACTGAGCCGAAAGTCAATGTATATCCGGATCAGCAAAGTATGCATACACCACAATAGCTTTAAATCTTTCATATACACATTCATTTTTCGTTTCAAACATAAAATGAAAATTTTCTTTTGTTTTACTTTATCGAATGTCATATTTTACACATAGTTGATTACTGGAATATTATGATCATTTAAAAATGTAGATCATATGTGTATCCTTCTAGTGTGTGTGTGTGTGTGTGTGTGTGTGTGTGTGTGTGTGTGTGTGTGTGCATATGCATCATTGACCACTAAGAATCTGTGATTTTCAATTAATTTTCTTATTTTCAATGAAACCAACTGCACAATTAGTATTCTCCCATTACTTTATTTCTTTCCACTATTACAAAAAGAAGTTATACTAATGAAAATGATAATGATGAACAAAGTGAAAAAGTCGTCATTACTCAAAAAAAAAGGGGGGGGGAAAGGAATTACACTAAGTATTGATCAAATGTTGCAATCGTATCATAAATGTTGTTTTTACAAAAATCATTTGTATTCACCCTTTAGGTACATTCTTCTCTAAGCTTTTTAGAATCCATTCTGTTACTCTATTTAAAATGCTCACCGATCGACTTTTTGAATTGATGACTTCTATGGAATACGCTACAGTATATACTATGTCAATGAATTCTTATTAATAGCTCAGATGACAGTACATAACCATTTTTAATGCCTTTTAATACAATTAGATATTGTTGAATTAGAATTACAACCTCATTTGCCACACTTCATAATCATAGGAAATAAGTCGGTAGACAAAATCAATGTAGAACCTCGCACATATGTACATCACTTCAATTTGCCACACTTAAGAACAAGGGGATATGAAAAGATTCATATCAAAGTAGATAAAGTTATGTAAGAGAATAAACAATCCAAAGATAACGGTTACTGCAAATATTTGAGTATTAGAAGGCGTCAAACAAAGTGAATATATCTGCTACCGAGATTCAGCCATGTCTCTAAGAGTCTTCAACCAATGGTTCCTATCGTCTTGGGTACCCCAACTAGGCAGTCTGCATCTCTTGGCACAACTCAGATCAACAGTAAGAGATTTCATAAACTGTTGCCGAGTTTTAGTCTGGTCACCCTACCGCAGCTTAATCTAACTTATCCTAGCATCGCACGTCGAGGTAGGTGGTGGATTGGGATGCGCAAGGCATGTTCAAGCCACCTCATTCATTGAAGGTTTGTATTCTCATCAGTCGATTTGCTAACCTTACCTAGTACCCTTCGTTTGATCTCTATATCACTCACACTTTGATACCACCAAACGGGAGCAATGCTAGAAAGACGCCTATGATCAAAACCCTGTAACCGTCTCATATCTCAGCTGTATAACATAGTTGGATGTCTCACCAATCGACTCCACAGATGACGCAACTTAGCAAATGCCAAACGGGCACAGATAATAAGAAAATAAAAGTAATGATGCCGTAAGTGATCATCAAGATTTATAGACAGATGTGGTATATATGCACGCACCACTGGTGTTATATTACGAATTGCATGCATTGCTACTTAACAGCTTATTCATTGTGACAAATCATTTAAAACTAAGTTGGATCTACTACTTGGCTTTCACTTTTCAATCGTTATCTACTTCGAACCTGATATTAGTGTGAAAAAAGGATGAAATGAAAAGCGGTTAAAGTAAACAAAGAAATGTGATAAAGCGAAGCTATGTATGTAGCAGCACTGTAATGAACCCTAGGCTATATCACATAAAGTTTCTAACTGTCGATTTCAGAGGTTCTATGAACCCTTACGTTGAAAGTCTACATTTCTCCACATAATTCAGGTCAACAGTGAGCAACTTAGGTTAGTGTCGTGTTTTCGTTTGAATGAGCACCCTTAACCTTTTTTCAATCGAAATTCAGCTGGTGTGGTGCGTCAGAGTTGACACATTTGATTTACATAATAAGTGTCTGAGTTGTATCAATTGGTTACCTCTTAATACACAAGACCATTTATTTATCCCCTGTGTTACTGACGAATAACTTACTGGCGGAGAGATTTCTTCTGGTTATCTATCATCAGCCCTCTATATTTTCTGCATTTCCTCCTATTGTCGTTTTTTTCTTTTACAAGCATTGTGCTTTTTGCAGATTCTGTGGCCTACTGTGTCACTCTTACCAACCATCTAGGCCGTCGAAATCTTTAACTTTGTTCCGTCTTCCGAACTTTGTGTCCAGTGGAACGACGTACTCCACTTCCAAGTCTCTGTCACTAAATGTTGCTGACCTGCCTTATTTTTCTGAAGCCCGCATTTCACAACTCAACAGCTATGCGCTGACTTGTGTACTAATCAATAATTGTATATTCCAAAGCATATGTATCTTGCTTTACTCATGATACTGCATGGTTTATCCAGCTTCTGAGTTGAACATATTGGAACTTATGACTCTGGTTAGACTTTATGGGCCAAACCAAGTCAGCCACTGATCTATTTGCGACGCACATGTGAGACGAGAATGTGGCTATTCACTTTATATCGCCTAGCTGATAAAGTTAGTTTTTAAGCTCCTTCGTGTGAGTCTCAAAAGCCTTCATAGGTAGCTTGCATAACTTTCTCGTTGTAACAGCTAGAAGAAATCTCCCAGAAATATTAAGTGGGTCTTTAGAAGAGAAATAAACTGTGATAAAGCAATGCTTATTTCTTTTCTTTTGCAGCCGTAATTCGGGTAGTACAACTGTTGAGTTTTACTGGTAGCTAACACTCTTATTTCTGAAGGTAAAAACATCGGATCAGTCAGTGGTTTGGATACTTAGATCAGGAAACTAAACCAAGAAAAGGGTGTGCAATAACGCATCGGACTCTTCTTTTTTTCAGGAGTCTGATATGTCTTCGTGAGGTTTCAACCGTTATTATTATTATTTTTCCCTTGGGTTCCTAGTGGAACATAAGGCTTCAGTAGCACGCCTCGATTCCGCTCTCTTCTCTCTAGTCCACTCAACCTGGCTCCACGACTGCCCACAAGCTTTCATTTCTTCCTCTATGTCACCCTCGGACGCCGAACTCGTTACTTCCCATTTGAGTTCCACTCGAGAGCCTGTCCTAAGGCCTAATGTCCTCAAACGGTCTTCTCAGTGTATGTCCAATCCATCTCCACTGCATATTTGTTGGGCGATGGGTTCTCTGTTGGTTCGTTGCCTGCTTGCCAGCCAGAGTTCCTTGTTCCTTATTCTTTCTCGCCTTCTCATCTGACCGCATCTTCAGTATGGAGTGAGCGTAGGCGGCAGAGCTGTTAATAGATGTCTGTAGTTTGTTGGAAATGCTTTTCGTGACAGACCAAGTTTCTGAACCATATAGCAACACTGACTTGACTGACATTGGTGTTGAAAATCCGGATGTTGTTGTTCACGCTTTGTGCTGAGTGGAGTGCAGTAGATCTCCACACTGGTTTCAGGTTAATGAAGGAAGGCCTATCTCGCTGTCTTTCCGATGCTGGCTGGCTGGCTTTGACATCTTCATCTGTTCCGCCTATAGTTGAGACGATGTTGCCCAGGTAGGTGGATAGGTGAAAGAGACTACTTCCTTTAGGTTTCTCCCGTTGATGGTGATTGGAGCTTGTTGTTGTTGTTGGTTGGGTATCTTCATCACCTCTATCTTCTTTACGTTCACTTGAAGAAAGTTCGATCTTCCCTGTTTTGTCCCTTCTGTTAAGTTGTTAGTTTTTGCCTGTAGATCTCCGAGTTTGTGCGATACTAGACACAAGTCATCACTGGCGAAATCCAAGTCTTCTAGGATCTTTTCCGCAGTCCAGCGTATCCCCCTCTTCTCGCTCCTCACTGTTTGTTGCATGATGCAGTCGAGTCCAGTTGAGCAGAACCAGGAAGATTATCGGTGGTAGTAGGTGGAAGCCTTGTCTTACTCCTGTCTTCACTTGAAAGGCGTCACTGAGCTTTCCGTTGTGGATCACTTGGCCGTTGATATGCTGCTATTCTCTGTTTTGTTAGATAGCGTGAAAAAGTAGAAAACTGAGATGAAGGCTGTATATTAACTAAGCCACCGATAGCGTAGCTCACGTGAACGAAAGCCAATTACACTGAAACGAAGCAAACCAAGATATCCGTGTATGAGCCTATATGTCAACAGTCGATCAACTCGGTGCAAACCAGTCAACAATTGGAAATAACAAGTCTTAGTATCAAAAACATACACAGCTCCAGTTTCAATTATGAATAATATGAATGTTCATCGGGTTGGATACATGCGACGGAGACATCTTCATGGTATATTTGGAATATTTTGCTGGTTAAAATAATCATCTTTTGCAATACCACTTGAATAATAACTTGTTCATGATCAACATTAACTTCATATACAAGAAAACACACTGACTTGGTTACCACCAGTTCTTAAATAATTATGCATGCAGATCACATTGCTGTTGACCGTCTCCTTTTTACTGTATGTACTTGATACCTTTCTACTCATTGATGAGATTGCTTGTGTGTTTATACCGTATTAAACTCAAGTAGCCTGCAAGCTTATAGTTACTATAAAACCTGTATGTAACCATGTGACAGAGCAATTATCGGATTAGCTGAGATGTGAAAGTTAAGGATAGCCACGTCAGACTGATCTGAATCGTCTCTCGTTTATGAGAAATGAGAAGAACACTAATCATTATGTCCTAGGACTTATTTTTCCTGACCATTCGACTAGTTCTTAGGACCAGTGATCCACCGAAAACTGGAAAGATATAAAACATGAATGAGTATGTATTGCTTAGACCTTAAGAAGGTTTTGAAACGAACGTGTATGTATTAGCATGTGGTATTTGCTATTTACCTTGACACGATGACGTCATTTTTATCATCGATTGGGAGTGTTGTGGTCAGTAGCTAATGAAGCTTTTTGCTAATAACCATATGATGTTTTGTGTGGAGATCTCATCTGGAGTTGTGGGTCATTGGTTTCAGTACCTGGCCTACATTCAACCAGTGGGTCACCAGTTCTAACACCGCCCCACCTACGGTAGTTTAGGCAGCCAGTTGGTATCAGTAGTCTTGATACAACAGATGCTGGTCATTGCCTACTGCGTACCAGGTTACTGAAAGGATTTCGTTTGGCTCAGTTGGTTCGGGCATCGTGCTAATAACGCGAATGTCGAGGGTTCGATGCTCCCTAAAGCCAATGACTGGTCACTTCGTCGGGAATTCATCTGACCTTATTCATCATCACTGTATGAAGTCCTTGACTGTTGTTTTGCACCATGTAGGGAGATGCACAGTAACTAGTTGGGATTCACGTTACAACAGAAACCACTAGTTGGAGACTAGATAATATGGTTTAGAATCGATCTCATTGGTGCAGATGTATCCACACTTTATCTTCATCTTAACCGCTATCCTGGATTCAGCATTTTCTCGTCCCTCCTTCCTCTCTTTTACTGATTTCTGCTGCTTCTGACCAATTTTTCACTCTTTCTTGATTTCATAATTTTGTTACTTGATATCGTGTGCTGATGATGTGTGGCAGTTTGGACCGTTATGCAGTAATGCCCGGTCCTGAGATGGTATTGATGATTATGTTTCCTCCAAGTGCATCCATCATCATCACAGCTTTTCCACTTCTTTTTATAGGTATATTAATGATAGTAACTGTGCCTACCTTTGACCTCTCACGCATTAAGAGGATTTGTCGACTAGCGTAGTATTAAAGTGACTATATGCTGTCAAATGAAGATTTAAG